TTAATTTTAATAACAAATATTTAAAAATTATAATACAAGTTTCTTTATTTTATTGAAATGCTAAAATTTTTATTCCTTTTATGATTAGCCATATGATTAAAGCATTCCTTTAGATATTTTTTATAAATTTTATAATTATTCAAATAATTTATTACATTTTTAAATATAAAATTAAAAAAAAATTATTTGTAGCGGTTGCTTTGTATTAAATTCAATATTTTTAAAACGGATATCCATGCAATAGGTTCCAGTTATGTCATCATTCATTTATGTATAGAAGAATATGCAAATTTAGTATTTAATTATAACCTTAAAAATTTACAAAACACTCTTAAAGTATTGTTATAATTCATGTGTATAACACTTTTGAATAATTAATCCTCAATTAGACCGAGATTATAAGTAAAAATAATTAATAATTTTACAAAACAAAACAAATTTTTTATTTTTAATTTCTCGAATATTTTCTTTTATTGTAGAAATTATAAAAGTATATCTAGACTTGTAAAATGCAGGGATGCGACTGCCATCTAATGCAGATGAGTTAAAATATTTATATACAAATTATTTTTTGTTATAATTTCATTTGAGAAATTTTTAACTGATTGAGAGAATAATGAAAATGTGAGTATATTGAAAAAATTATAAGGTTACGTAAAAAAAATAAAACCTGTTTTTTGAAGATCATACAGTTCCAAATAGTTATCTGAAGTGTTATAAATATATGAGTAATGTATTTATGTTTGCATGTGTAATATACATTGTATGTATAAATAGTCCCACATAATATTCTGAATAAATATGTAAATGTCAACTTCTATTATAAGTTTGGATTATTATATAAATAGGCCTTGGCAATTAATAATTTCAATATGAAAAGTAAAATGAATAATTACACAAACGATAGCTAATAATAATTTGTTTGTGTACGCGTTCTTACACAAATAAAAATAATCAAGGATGCTTTGCTTTGTTATACAAATATATTTTTTTTTGTATGAAAACTGGAATTAAATACTGTCTAGGAAATCTATCATATAGTTTTCTAATCTAGATTATGTACATTTTCTGGATAGAACATGTAAAAAAAAATAATGAACGGTTTTACAGCATTTTTCATGTACGAAATTCACTAACAGGAGTGGTAAAATTATTATGACTTCAAAATATTTGAGAGCTGGTAATTAAAATGTCTTCTTAATGTTATAAATAAGAGAATAAATAAGAGAAATTAATTAGAATAGATTTAGTAGTAATAGCAGGTTGCAAAATGGAGCTATGATGCAGATTGCTTAGATGTTTTCTAAGTCTGCAGTGGACTGTCAAGAACCCCGCGAAGAATTCTTACATGATTTCGCGATAGCCTTATGATTGCCTTATAGCGCTTCCGGTTTCCCAAAAGCATCTTCGCTTGCCAAAACCTCTGATGCGCGTTCCGTAGCCTTAGTCATCTTTCCTCTACTTTGATCGTTTACCACTTGGTCTAGTCGGGGGGGTGTCGCGGGGGCTTTTTAATCGTCATTCGAGCCAAGCCAACCGATAGGTTTTCTTTGTACTTTTCCAAGTTCGTTTCTCGAGGAGTTCTTGAGAAGGAAGTCTTCTCAGCAATCACCAAGATTAAACCGAATAATTCTATAGTTCGACATGGAAATCTCTCCAGTCTCGCACGAGATTTCTGACACTCGGGCCACCGAATGTGATATCTAGCGCCTCTTCTCTAACCTTACTTATAAAAGTCGGAGAATTCTGAACACTCCAAGATGTACAAGCTTCCTCAAGAGCTATGACGCGCATTTGCATCATATCTAATGATGAAAGGTAATCTCTCCCAGTTGAAGTAATTTATCAGTCTCTTTACTTCCAATGGTGGCGTCTGGTTCACATTTCTTGCGAAGTAAGCTGACACTGGAAGTATCCCCAAAATTCTGCAAACCGCGTTAGCGCGGGTCCTGACGGGTGGCAAGTGCCTCGTCATGAATTCTGAAAAAACAATATAATTAATACTTTTTCTTATTATAATGCACGTTCTAGGTCCTCTTGCGGATCCTGCGCACAGTTACATGCTACCGGTGTTTCTCTAATGGAGAAAAACCTGATTTGTCCTCTGTGTAATCAGGGTTCTTGGATGAGTGCCACCCTAGTTGTTGCTTGGTGAACATTTTATGGGCCCTTCCGAGTCTGTGCATGGTGGTCTTCCCGAAGCGGTACCTCAATTTGTACCCCTCTCCTTCTATGACACCTGCTGAGGTTATCTCAATGACAATTTTCAACAGCTGCTCCCACCTTCTTGTTTCTGCCTCAGCAACTTCCAAGCTCAGGAGTGTATTTTTCTGTTTTGAGCTTGGAAAATTGTCAATGTTTTTTCCCACTTCAGACCGGTGCTCCCAGGCAAATACAGCGTAATTATCTTTGGCTTAGAGATATCGTCTCTCCTCTTTACTGTCAACGTCGGCCCTTTCACACCTTTTGTAAAGATGCGTGGGGGATGAGCCACTCAGCCGTCTACACATCGGAACAGTCAATAAGAAGCATACCCGGCTTAAAACCTTCAAACTGAATGACGACATCCCATTCACTGGTCATCTCGTCGAAAATCGCGTCTGAAAGGTGGGTGAGATCCACCTGGCTCAGCATTACTTTAGGGTAGTCCCTGGGTAAAATAATAGCCTGTACCGTTTAAATCACACCGGCGTAGCTGCTTTCCTATTCAGCTGAGATGGGGAAGGTAGCTCCCGCCTCCCCCTACATAGCTGTTCTTCTTCTTTTCGTCTCCCTTTCTTCCGCAGTCAGGGACTCTCCTCCTCTATTCTTCGCCTGGTCTGGTGGTCAAGATTCCATGTTATTGCAAACTGGTATGATAAAATTGATCCACATCAAAAATATTAGGAGATATTTTAATTTTTACGATAAATTTCTAAGACTCTTCAAGTGCAAGATTTTAGCAACGTATCACCGAAATTTTTTATTATGAAATTACTTAAAATTTCTTGTAAATTTTCTTTTAATTTTGTTTATGAGGCGAAAACCGGATTTCAAATCATTAAAACGCTAATTTGATCTAATTGACCACTTTGTTTTGGGGATACAGACCATTGAGCCATGGACATTTTGTACATGTATTGCGAAAACAATTAAATACATATCTGTGTACTCTATTTTCTTTGTGGTATTTGAAAGCATTCTACACAGTTATTCGAACAATAAATATTTCAAGGGCAAAACTAAATGCGTCACATGTTAAAGGAAGTAACTATAAAAGATACTTGATTTATCGATCCAATTGAGTGCACTCTATATAAAGTAATTTTTTTTCCTTTTATCTCTTTATCGTAACTGATTAAGTAGAAATACAGTTTAATTTTAGAAGAAAAGACTAACTTAACCGTTCACTTCTTTTCCTTTCTTTAGTTGAATTTATTGAGTATAAAGAAAAAGAAAAAAAGTTACAGAAGAATCAAAAGTTCATTGAATGTCTTCCCATAACTGATACTATTTCAAGGTAATTGACATAAACATAGATGTAGATGGAGATGAAAAGTACGAAGAACTAAAAGGTGATAAAATCAAAGTGTAGTGTGTTATGAATTTTATATTTAGTATTGAATTCATTTGGTTTAACACAAATCATATGCCCAAAATGTTCATTTTATAATTTCTTATAATTAATAAAATTTCTTGAGATATTTAGACGCTTTATTTTATTCATTTTTATACAATTTTCGAATTAATTTGACCATGTCTGTGCTCTGTTAAAAATTTTAATTTCACTTTTAATGATATAATGAATTCAAATAAGATTTATTTTTATCTCAAATTAAAAATCACGCAGCAAATTGTTAATCTCTATATAAATTTATCTAAGGGTGTATGTAAGTATAAGTGATTGTATGTGAATTTTGCAATCTGAATAGAATATGTTAGTAAACTTTTTTTCTATTATTATAAGAGATAAAAATGAAATCCATGTAAAATTTTATACTAGAGAACAAGTATTTTTTCGAAAGCGACTAGTATTTTTTTTTCTCCATTTTTATTTTAGAATAAATTTCCATTGCTAATCATCAACAATAATTTCGCTTTCATGCGAGTACAGGGTGTGTCAAAAATAACTTTTCTCTCGCTCAAAAATATCTCATAAAATTTTGATGTTAACGTTTTTTACTTTCGGAATAGCTCATCGAAGTTTTATTTGGCTTCGTCATATACAATGATATAGGTGAAATTTTTGCAAATGTTTTCGAATTTCCAACAGTTTTTGTTCAGTGATTTTCCTGAAATATGGCTCTATTAGGTAAGTCTCAAACACCTTACAAAAAGTTCTTAATGGGGCTTTTCAAAAAGCTCATACAATAAAATTATGTAGGCTAACAACTTTTGCTGAAAAAAGCTTTGCATTTCGCTATATGCTCTCAGATCTATGAAATTGAAACAAAATTTCAGGAAAATTTTTCAATAAAAAATTTTAATTTTGTTTTATACAAAATCACCTTGTACACACATAACTGCTCACCATGTTTTGATATTAAGTCCTTTTATGTTTTTTATTTTAATTAATTTCGCTTTAACTGGATTGGGTTGGGATCGATTACAAAGATATTTATATTAAGTAGGTTGAGATGAAATAAGAATATAGCTAATTATATACATGTTGACCTGTTTCATGTTTGAGGTTTATTTTTCCACATGTCTATATATGCATAATATGTGTTTGTAAATGTACAGATGTATGTATATGTATGCCACAATAAATAATTATCTGAAGTTTTGAATCGCAATTTATTTAATTTATTTGGATTGATTTTTATTTTTCTAGAAGATTTTTTCTACATAAAAAAAGCTGTTCTGTATTGAAGTAGAAAAAAGAAAAAAGTAAAAATATGTAAGAGAGTTAAGGTGTAATTGAAAGTAAAGATAAACCAAATATGATCGTCAAGAATTGCCGGCAAATAGTGTGAGAACACCACTTTTCTGTTTTCTTCTTATTGTTATTGTACTTTTCAGCTTCTATAATTGCAATTTACTCAATCTGGAATTGGCCTATATAAACTGATTGAAATATTGAGAAAATTATCAGATACATTTTGTACATCGTTACAAAGTCATTAAAGCAATTTTTGTTTAGTAAAATATTTTAAAATAAAATTTATAAACATGAAGGTTAGTTTAAGGAAGTTTTCCTAATTAAACATAAAATATTTGTGTGAAAATTACAAAATTTTTAAAAATGATTCTTAATAATTAAACAATTATAAATCGGGAGAAAAATGAATCAAAAGTGAAAAAATTATAAAGTTAAATGTGACATCTAAAAAAAAGCAATAACATGTCACATAACAATTTCATAATTAAAATGACATGAGTCATAATTATTGTTGGGATTACATCACAATTTTTTCTTTGATTTATGTTTTAAAAATTTTTTTCGAAAATTTATTTAATTTTTATTTTGTTTTTTAGTTCGTAATTGCCGTAGTCATGTTAGCCCTCGTTTATGGTGCTCAATCATCAGTTGTACCATTATCATATACAGCTGTACATGGTCCAACGCTGTTAGCTGCTGCACCAGCTGCTCCAGTTATTGTTGCTAGTCATCCAGTAGCTACAGTATTAGCTGCTGCACCAGCACCAGCTGCCGTTGCTGTACATCCAGTAGCTGTTGCTGCACCAGTTATTGCAGCTGAAGGAACATATGTAGCACAAACACGTGGTGCTGTTCATGTAGCACCATTAGCTGGTCATGCAAATTCAGCTTCATCAGTTAATTTGGAACCAGCACCAGGAACAATATAAATTCATTAAAAAACTCATCATTTTGAAATTTAAATACGAAATTAATGAAGATAATATAGAACTGCTTTTTAGACCAAATATGAAAAAACAAAACACAAAATTTACTATGTTGCACTAAAATCTGATCAGCATTAAAAATTCAATTTTTGGAAAGAAAATTAAAAAAAAAGAAATTGAAATATTTTTTTGCTTATAACAACAAAAAAAATGAAGACGCTTTCATTATCACATACTTACCATACTTGTAAATTTTTATATTTTCTTTATATCAAGCACATATACGTAACAGCATACAAAAAAAACCAATAAGAAAAGATTCATTTTTTATGTCCTTTTTTTAGTTTTTCCCCTGTTTTTATTGCAAAAAAGAAAAATGAAAAAAAAAAAATATGTATAAAAAAAACAAAAATAAAATTTAGCTAAGGAAATTAAAAACCAATAATTTTTTAATGTTTTTTCCACTAAGCTCCTTGAATTATGCAATATTGTTGGATTCAAACTATCCAAACTTTAAGGATAGAACTGTACACTAAAAACCACCCTATACCTAATATAAAGTAAGAAAATCTGAAATTTAACGTAAAAGCTATGAAACTTTCTTCAACATTATTTAGCTTCATTGAAAATTGCATACTTTTAGGTATTTTGGATAGCAAATACTAGAACATACATAAACATTTAATAATTTTCATTTAAGTTACTTAATTAATTTCTTGTCTTATATAACTACTTATACTATAGTCAAATACACATACATATATAGTGTTTACTGCTTAGAATAGCAAGGCTTTCAACTATTTGCTCAGCCTATATTTATGTAAAAATACGATGAAAGTTTTAATTATTATATGTTGACATAAATGTTTGCTGGTTAACTAAAAAATTTATTTATGTAATTTACGTTGCTTTATACTTTATGCTTGATATAATTAATATTTCTTGCGTGTTTTTCGCAATTTTCGTGAAAAAACAATAAAATACGCTATGAGTGTTTTAAATTTCGTTCTATGATTCATTCAAATTTAATCAAATAGCTAAAATATTTTTCAAATATTAATTTTAACAAAAAATATTTTGAATAGAGCTTTTGTGCCTTCAATTTTGATTAACTTTTATTTTTATTTAACTTTTCAAACATTCGAAAACACTTTTGATATTTTGCTTTTTAAATCAAAAAAAAATTAATATATTTTTGATTTATTATTTTAAATTTATTCCGAAAAACTTTTGAGATTTCTGATAAATTACTTTTTAAATTCATTTATTTCCATTGCTCGCTTCATAAAATCACATGAAATAATTCCTGTACTTTCCATCCATGCGTTAATTTGCTTAAAATTGATATTTTTTTTGTTGCTTGTCATTTAAAGTTTTATGCCTTTTAATCTTAATTTACTTATTTCATATACTTTTTATTTAAATTTTAAATTCAATTTAATTTCTTTCCCAACTTAAATATCAAATTCAATACAAATATCCACATCAGCTGATATTCTTCTTAATTGACTTAGATCACCGTTGCCGATTTGTGTCATTTTAATTTGCGGTTCTAAGTCAACAATATCGCTTGGTTCAGGTGTTTCTGGTGCACCATATTCTTCAATATATTTTTGACATATTTCAGGTTCAGCTGGAAACCAATCAGTTGGATATAATAATTCTTTTATTTTTTCTTTTGCTGTTCTATCGTCATTAAATGGAAATAACTTTATCACAATATAGCCAGGAATAAATATGAAAAATGGTATAAGTTTAAATGTTATTAATGATGCTGGATTCAAAACTTGTTTATTATCGAATACATCAATACAGGCAACAATAATATAATAGCTCTAAAATCAATTATTAAATTTATTAAATATATTATATAAAATAAAAATTTTGCATTACCAATACTAAAATAATTCCAAGTGGTGTTATAAATCTTATTGAAAAAAATTTCCAAGTTTTAAAATTTAATCCAAGCATAAAGAATACATCCCGCTGAAATCTCATTCGACCATATATCCAAACGATAGCCATTAATTCAAGTAAACAAATTGACATTTGTATAATACCTTCAATACTGTAGCGTAATGCAAACATCAAGAATCCACGCTGAAAGAAATTAATTTTAAAAATTGCATATGTCAAGGCGTTATTAATAATGTTACGTAATTTAATTTTAATCCAAACAATATGCAATTGACTTAGCCATATAAAGGAAATAAAATTGCATACTTTTTGGAGTTGACAATTTTTTTTTGATTATTCATAAAGATTATACTTACATTTGTGGCAAATACTAAAGCAGAAAAATATAAAGCTAATAACAATGTGATAACAATTTCTTTTCTTTTTACCCTAATACTTTCATGTTCGTCAAATAATGCAGTTATTACAGCAAAAATTTGAATGATCTAAAATACGAATAAATTAAAGAATTACTTAAAAAAAAATGGCTTATTAAATTTAATTTTAATCTTACACATGATGAAAATTCTGCCAAAAACAACATGGCATAAAATAATAATGACCACAATTGTGATACTTCAAGTTTACCAAAAAAATATGGAAATGCTGTATAAACATAATCGAGTTGATTAACACCACCCAATTTATAAAAAAAATCGTAATATTCGGCTAAATAACGTCGAACTAAAAATGTAGACATCCCTGTAATAATTATAATGAGCATATGGCCAAAACAAACTTTATACGTTAATTTTTTTAATTTTTCATTAAAATTATTAAAACTAGCCATTGTAACAATACTACCCCAACCGGGACCCAATGCAAATGTTGCTGGTGCTGCAGCATATACCCATGTTATAAATAAATTAACAATTGTTATTGGTGTATTTGATTGTGTTGTTGAACTTGATAATGATGATGATGTCATTGACTTTGATGATGCTGATGATGATGATGATGTTATTATTGTATTTGTTGAATATGGCAGTAACGACGAGGACATTTTTGATAATGATTCTTTTGGTAATATAATTCTTTCGAATGTTCTAATAGTACCAGGAAGACAAAGTATTCTTAAAAATATTATTAACATTATGATGAATGTTATTATTGTTGCATATCTAAGATACTTGGAAATCTAAAGATATATTAAAAAATTAATGCAATTTTATAAAATCAAATTAAGTTATGTTTTACATAATGAAACCTACAATATTAACACCCTTCATAACTAAGATTCCAATTAGAATCCAAACAAACGTTGTGCTTAAAAATATCCTCCAAGATATTTGCCATCCTTCTGTGTCCTCTTGTGCGATTGCTTTGCTAAAATTTTATAAGTTTCATATTAATCAAAATAATTTTTGAGCTTCACGTAAAAGTACTATGATTGAAGAACATTTTTCTATGAACATATCAAGGATAACTTAGTTGAGGGCAGGTCGCCTATGAATTCATTTGAAACGGATATTTATAAATATATCAACCATCGCGGCGGATATATTTAAAATCACTTCGTCTGTAGAACAAAGTAACTAAAACACTACCAGAAGGAATCAAGTGTCCTTCTGACCATGTTTCGCAGGAGCATGGCTAAGTGTAAAAACAAAACCAAAGCGGAGATGAAAATAGACAACGATTGCATGTTCACACAGAACAATTGCGAAACAGAAAAGACAGTTATTTAGTACAATGGAGCAGATGATGTCGAATAAAATCGTCAGCGATGCAATAAAATACCGCGATAAGTTATTTTATCACCGTCGTTAAATTTGCAGCGTAATTTTCGCAGTCATATTTATACAAGTGAATTCTAAATGAATTTTAACATTTTTCACCGCGGAACATTTACCTTGTCTGCTTTAGCTTCAATACACAAAGCGAACACGTTTTCTTGAGAATGTAATATTAAAACAATATGTTGTTAATAATTAGAAAGACATGACATGAAAATCGTTTAAAGACGAATTATTGATTAGCAAATCAAACAACTACTGAAAAAAATGCAACTTACTAAAAAAATTCAGTTGACGCTAGTGTTTTTCCTGTGAAATAATAGTTAAGTGCAACTGGATGCAATTTCGGTGGATCCTAAAAATATAATTTTTGTTTTTAAATTAAATTTTAATTTCAATTTAAAAAAAAATGTATTACATCTTTGCAGTCAATAGTATTCCAGCCATTATTACATGTTGTCCATGGGAGAACAGTATTGAAAGAGCTAAGAAAAAATATTAATGGCACAGCTGCATTTACACTATAATAGCTGGAAGTTATCACATTTAATATTAAAATTACATAACCGAGACCTTTAAATTAAGAAAACAAAAATAAATATTTTAAAATAATTAATATTGTTTATATACCAATTATTAAAAAAATTTATACCTTTAGCAATTGGTGCTGCTCGGTAAGCAGAAATAAAACCACTACTTGAAAATTGCCCCAAAAATCCTTGGATAAAAAATATCGGTAGAGTAAAAATGAATAAATCTACGAAATATGAAACCAAGAATACAACTGAAATATAAAAGGGAAAAAAATAATATTACCATTCACATATACATATACATACATATACGAGTATAGAACATATTTATAAATAAATATAATTTTAAATTAAAATATTTTTAGAATTTTCCTGCTTTGAATTTACAAGATCATTTAAATTAGCACTTAAGACACATTAAGAGAAGGCTTTAATGTTACAAGTAGTAATTTTCCATAATGCTCCTTGTGTCATCCTTATATAAATCATTATCCTTGTTACAATTTTCAAAAAGATGCATTATTAGGATATTTTTTATTTTATTTTATTTTTAAAATATTTATTAAAATTTCTAAAAATAGTAAAATGACCGTGTTAATTCACTTATAAAAAACAATTTCAATTTTACGTCATTATAAGAGAAAACTTTTCTAAAGTGCACCTAAAACTCAATTGTTAGACGAATCCTACTTATCAATTTTCTCTTGCTGATTCTTGTTTAATCATGTTATGAGAAATTTCTCTGACAAGTGTTAACTCTTTAGTTTGAATTAAAAATTGAGTGAATAGCTGTTATTTATCCAGCCTTTGAACATTGCACAGACATTTCAACTCGCATTTACACTACACACAATTATTGCTCGTCATTAAAATTCGCATAAATTAATAAATGAGAGAAAAAAAAATTAATTTTTTTTGCAATATTTCAGACGATTTTAATTCAATAATAACAATAATAATAGAAAAAAAGAAGAACAAGAAGAAAAATAAATCATCAATAATAAAAGTAATTATGTAATATTTATTATGCTTTTATGTGCATATGTATAGATATATATGTATGTAGTGTATTCTCAGTAGCCTAGCAAATAACTGTTCATGTGAATGTACTCGGTCATCGCACTTCATAAAATACTCGTTCACCTGCCTGCCGAGAATATTGCTACTCTCATTTTTTATTATTATTGTTTTTGTTATTGCTTCTCTATTTCTTTTTTGTTGTTTTCCCACCTGTCTGAACGTCTGTTTATGTTCATTTTTCTTCTTCATTTTCTTCTTTCTTCCTCTTATTTCTATTTTATTTTTTTTATTATTGTTATTATTATTGTTTGATGTTGGTATTGAGTAGTAGTAATGGTGTATTATTTACAATTTTTGAATAAAAACAATAAAGAGTCATGCTTTTGACTTGCGGCGTCGTCGTGCTAAATTTTGCAAAAAAAAAAGAAAAACAAAAATTAAAAACAGAAAAGCAAATCACAGACAAAAAAGTTTTTGAAGATAGGTGAGCACTTTTTTTTTATTTTATTGCATGTACATAATGTACATAAGTGTGTTACAGAATCGTGCAAAACATAACAGAAAGAGGCACGAAAAAAAAATCTGTAAATTAAGAAGCTTTTGTTTTTGTCATGCAAAAAAAAGCTTCTGTTTTGTTCGCACTTAGTCTGGCTGCTTGCTCTGTCTATAATAATTGTGTACAGATTTTTTTTCGTGTTTAATTGTTTGTGATTATGTTCTACCTAGGGTACATATATGCTTGTGCATATGTTTGTATGTTAATAACAAGCGATTACTTATATTATTTATAAATATGTAAATATTTTGTAGTTTCGAATAGTTTTACACGATCAGTTTAAAATATTGTTCAAATTTTTCTAATTCTTAATTTAATTGTACAATGAAGATTTTATGTAATGTTTTCATGCGATGTACAATAATTAATTGCTGTATAATTTAATTTTATGTTAAGTAAAATAATTATTGTGGGTTGTGGTTAATTGATCAATAAGGTGAAGAAAAAAAATTTGAATATTTGTATTAGATTAATAGACACAATGAAAAATATTTGTAAAGAATTTTAAATTTAACTAAGTAACAAAAATAATTTAATTTAATTATTTGAATATTTTTTTTTTTGATCGATTGTTGAGCAAGATCGATTTATCAATCGATTTTTAAGCTTTTTTTCTGAGTGCTCACATTTCTTCCGAGTGGGGTTGTATACTAAACCATGTCAGTTTTCTATCAGTTTTTAAGATTACCAATAGTGTATTGCAGGAAACGTTGTCATTGTTAGTCAATCATCATGACAATATTATTGAGCAAAAAGAAAGAAATTTATTATATTTTTTGAATTTGTAAGATTTTGAAAATTTTAAATTCTAAAATTTTAATCAATTTTAAGACCAATATTAACTGTATTTAAATTAAGCCGACATTTCAAGTTCAATCTATATAATTTTAATTTCAATTTATTTATTATGAAACAATTAGGTATATATGTGTTAAAAACAAATTCTGTAAAAAAAATTTCCTGTAATTTTCAATACGAATAAATTTACGGTTTTGTTAATTTAATAATGCCATTAATAATATTGTTTAACAACTTTGCTGTAGTGATTTGTTTAACAATTTTTTCCAACACAATTTGCATTTTACAAAATTGAATTGATAATTAAGTGTTTAATACACTAAATATATTTATTTTTGATCAAATTTAATTTTTTTGTTCTAAAACAAATTAAAAAGAATTTCATAGAATATTTAAACTAAAGCATTTGAAATAAAAACCATTTCTCATTTCACAAGTTTTTAAATTCAAAAATTTTATTCTCATAATTCTAATTTTAAGTTTAATGATTTTAGAAATTTCTCTGAATAAAGTTTTCTCAAATCAGATAAATACTGCCATTCGCAGAACAAGTGATTGTGTAAACTACCGCCATCAAAAATTATAAAAACTTTTACTTCATTATTATAACACAGTAATTATAACAACAATAATAACAAGAATAACAAGAATCACAAAAAATGCAAAAAACAAAAACATAAAATAAAAAAAGAAAATGAGGAAATTTTCTTTTTTCTTGAAAAAAAAAAATTTCTCATTTTCAATACCTACTTTTCGTTTTCGTGTCAAGGTCAATTGCAATATTTTCACAGTTATTTGATTTTTTTTTAATATTTTAATAATTAAAATTTTCTCCCTAATTTGTTTTCTTATAATTAAAATTAAATATTTTCACAATTATAATTAAAAAATTCTTAAAAACTAAAATTACCTAGAAATGCCCAATGATGGAACATAAATTTTGGAAATACTAAAAAATGTTTCATAGTAAATGCATGACAAAAACAAGTTGCATAAAAATCCCAATTGGAGGTCCATGGTTTTCCACGATTTTCATCGCGTTTTGTTATTTTATTTGCACTATCACAGGTCGCTGTAACATGATTATTAATGACGGTTGTTAAATGTGAAAATGTTTTTGAAACATTTTCTCTAATATTTGTTAACATTTTTTTTTTGGTTTTTTAAATTTACTTTGTTGATTAGATCTATTTTATTAAAGATTTGAAATATCTTATTAATTTTATAATAAAACTTTATAATGTTTATATTATAATTTAAGAAAGAAAGGAAGAAAAATAAGAACAAAAAAAAACAATTTTGTGCTATCGTTTTTTTCCTTTTAAAAGGATTTTTTTGTTTTTCTGTATATTATTGGAATAGTTTTCTTTTAGATGTTAACATTTTTATAAATTTTTAACTACTGACTGGATACATAAAATAAAATTTTAGAATATGTGGAAAAAAAGGAAAAAATTGTGTACTATATCCGACTTTTATGTCCTTTGAATCAATGCAAAAATAAAAGCTTTAATCTAAAAATATTTAATGTCTCTTTGATTTTGTTGTGACCATATGCACTCAATCCCACGGAATAAGTTTTAGTATTTGTTTTACCAAATCAATTTTTAATTAATACAATTATTTTTAATTAATCAATTAATACAATTAATTTTGTCGAAAATTTTATATAACGTTTTTTTTATAAAATGGTATACCCTTTTATTTATTGATTTAAATCCAGCAATTTTCATAGCTTCTTTTAGCTGCATATTCATCGGGGCTGTCAACTTTAATTCATTGGCTATTATGACATCTATATAGATACTTATAATTGTTAACAATTTACATGCCTGTAATCTGCTGGTTTCTTTTTGAAAATTATATAATTGGTTTTCGTAGTATATTAATAGTCAACATGTGCAACTCCATCCATAATAATTTACTCTTCGCAAATTCTTAATTATGTCTTTGTCCGCAGCTTTAGATTTAAGAGGTTGCTGATATAGCAAGAGACAAGGGTTGGTCCCGAAAAACTTCCTTGCATTACGCCAAAATTAATATTATTCCTCTCACTTTTAACACGATTACATTCAGTCCGCATACTGCGCTCTATTTGGACAAACATTATTGTACGGTCTATAGTGTTAAATGGCTTGTTAACATCGAAAAGCACTGCTATCACTGTTAGAAATAATATATAATTTACCACAATAACTGAAAAAAAATTTAAATTAAAAATGAGAAAAATTGAAAATTTGAGTTAAATTTGTTCACTTCATTTGCATTACAAAAATACCCAGCAAAATAAAAAAAAAATTAAAAGCTTAACAAATAATTTTTTTAATCTGCAAAAGAATAAAAACAGTCTAATGGTCACTCTATTTTCATCCCCTTTTCGATAATTCATTGTATTTGAAAATGAAAGTCTAAAAGAAAGCTTTTCATATATATATGTATATATTACGTACACATATAAGCATTCTAATGTAATAACAAAAAAATAAGGTATGAAAAGAGATTTTTTCTTTTCATGTGTTTGATTGCGTATCGCAAACATAAACATGACACAAATATAAAAGAATACAACAAAATGAAAAAAAAACAAAAAAGTCATTCTTTTAAGAATTCATTCTTATGAATGAATTTCTATTTTCGTTTCGTTTTTCTTCTTCTTCCTCCTATTTCATATTCTTTTTTATATTCAAATTACATATTTTTAATATATGCTTGCATCTCTGTACATCTAAATATTTGTGTATGTATTATGTATGAATTTAAAAAAATACCAAGGTATAACAGTTAATATATGTATACATGTGTGTGCAAGTATATTATATAATTTAAGTATAATTGAAATTGTCAATGAAAATTGAATTGGATATAGGGGAAACAAAATTTTACATTTGAATAAGAGGAAAGTATATTGTGTACGTTGATTATACAATCATATTAAAATGTAAATAAGGATATTTTATGAATATAAAACTTATATGTATAACAGAATATACAGCATTTATCCTTGTATAAATGTGTGTATATGTACTTAAAAATGAATTTCTTTTAATAAATATTAAATTTTTAATCATAAGGTAAGTATGAATGGTTGTTGTGAATTTTATTATACGTTTGTATAATACATTTATATAGAACAGTGAATTATGTGTGTTTATAAATGTTATAATATTTTTATAAGCATAAATATAACGGTATATGTAAATATAAATAATGTTATGTATATTAGTACAAATATATATGTATGTAGGTAAATATATATAATAGTGAAACTTAAAAGATGAAAAGACTCTTTTTATTTTGCAATAGAAAATTGAAATTAAAATTTAAAAAATTCATTAAAAATGTTATAAAATAATTAGGTTTGGAGAGCAACTATATACTATTTTTGTTCCTTAAGAAAATATTTAAAAAAAAATATGTAAAAATATTTTTAATTTGAAAAAAAATAAGGTCATTTCTTTATATAATGGAGCATGGGTAACATACATATTGGGAATATTTATAAAAAATATATTTGAGACATCGTAGACTCAACATATAATTAATATAAATTAAGAAGGTTCTAATATTATTATCTTATACTGGTAAATTTAATGCAAGAAACATTATTCTTAAATAATTCTTACAAATGATTTTAATTTTATAATAGTCATAATGTCATAAGTAATAGTCAATGTATGATTTGCCATTTTATGTCAAAACTTCACATCAAGTTCAAATGTATTTACATGCGTATGTTAAACTATAAATTGTTTTCCTGCTCAAATCAATGTATAATGTCAATGTTTTCGTTATATACATAAATTTTCAAATAATATATCATATTGCACATTCACAGCTCACAATATTTCGCTTTAAAAATTAAATTTGACAGAAAATTTGATGAAAACCAAAACGTATTTATTTCTTTTTTACATCAAATAGTGTTTAAGATGTCAAACAGTATTCGCATATCACTAATTTTCTCATATTTGTAAACATAGCCTTATTTACTTAAATTATCGTTTATTTGCTCTAGCATAAAGTGCAAGTACAAATCAAATTAAAATGTTAAAAAATTTATCCTGAAAGTATGTTATTTTTTATTCAATAAAAAAATTTAATTATGTAATTTTCTAAATAGCTTTAAAATGATTTCAAATAAGAATCTATATTCTAAATTGGTCAGAAATTAATACAACCATCAATTATTAGTTAACCTAATTTTATTAACCAATATATCTTTATACGTTCTTATAGTTGCCAATGATTGCGAAAATTTTTCTTAAAATACAAATTTCTTTTTTTATATTTTATTTTTTTATTTCATACAGCTGTACTACATTGTGCATCTTGGGATTACCCGCCCTAATTTTCCCAAAACAAAAAATTCTTTTTTTTATGACTATTGAAAAAACTATACCACAAACAAGTTAGTATGGGTATAGTATGTATAATATAGGTACTCACATTTTTTCGAAAGAACAGAAATGCCGAAAACACGGACGAAAAATGAGAAGAATTATAAATTTTTTTTTCTTGGAAATTTAAATGAAGAGTACGAGCAAATAAATATAATTTTGGAGATAAAATAAATTTAATTTTTGGTTTCACTTAATTTATAATAATTTAGTTTATTAAATTTCATCTAATCCTTATGAACCAAAATGAAAATTACTCTCAGTGCTTTAAAAATTTATTAAGAAGAGAGAAGGAACGAAAAAAAGACAAGGAAAGCTAATCAACCTTAAAGTTTTTTGAATTCTTGTTTTTTTTTTTTGTTTTTTTCAATTATGAAAATTTGCGGTCTTTCTTATACATTTAGAATATATTGAGATTAAAATATGATAATTAGATAGAAAGGAAACCGCTTCCTAAAAATAAATCAATAAATTTTTCTTATGGGTTGATAATATTTTTTTTTAAATTTGACCTTGAAATTTAAAGGGAATTAAAAAAGTATTAAAATATTTTTAAAATTTTGAAAAAATTTAAAATAGAGATAGGTTTTGTAATTGGAGAACTGTTGTTGTTGTTTCTATTGTTATACAAGAGTTTGAGGGAAATTCAGTAGTCATTTAAGAATATTGAATATTTTATTTTTAGCTATTGGGGAAAAGTTAATTCCAAAGTTTTTTTCTAGAATTATTATAAAAGATGTTTAAGTTTGAAAGGATTTAGAAACTTAACCGTAGTCAATAAATTTTGCATAACAAAATGCATGTATATAAAAGTACAATATTGCTTTAATTATTTTTCAAATATAAGAGGTAATGTAGGTACTTTCATACGTAAATTGAAACCTAATGTTCTATTAATTCCTTTTTAATCCCATAAACAGTAGAATTTTAAGAACAATGTGTGTTAATTTAAAATATACAATAATTTTTATTGTTTGGTATTTTCCTTTATAATTTCTAATCAAATTTTCCCAAATATTTAAAATTCAAATTACTTGTTCTTTATTAACCCAGTTTCAAATTTCTTGCGTCAGAACTGTTTTTTAAGTAACTCGTGCCACATTCATTCTATAATGTTTATTTATTGGCTAATACATCCATAGCTTTGAAATCGTTTAGTGTATTTTAGGATTTCTCACTTTTATCGCAGTTGTACAAAAAGTTTTGAATTTAAAAATAAAAATAAAATTAAAAAAAATTTTCTAATAAATAAAAAGCTTTTTTATTTATTTTTTATGAACACAATTTGATTTTCTTAAAAAGATTTAAAAAAGTATACAGAATAAATAAAGAAGAAAAAGTGCTGCAGAGAAATTGGAAAAGTGCTATATAGAGTTAAGGAAGGGGAGGGTTCGAGGAACCGAAGTTCATTTTAATTGTTTTCTAATTTTTTTTTTTACATTTTTTTTCATTAATCTATAAATATAATAAAATATAAATTTTTTTATACATATATACACATTTATAAAAATATTCAAAAAAAAAAAAATATCGACTTAGATCACACGCATTCATTAATCAGAGTAGCATTATTGAATTTGTCCAAATAAAATATTGATGAAAATTTAGTTTTGTTTTTGTTCTAGGAATAGAAAATTTGAAATTAAAATTTAAATTTCAATATTTTCTTAATGAGTTCCTGGAGCTGGAGCAACATTTACTGATGAAACTGAAGCGATATGACCAGATAATGGAGCACTATGTACTGCACCACGTGTTTTAGCAACATATTGACCATCATGTCCATGATGAGCTGCAATAGCAACAGCATGTGCTGGTGCTGCTGCATGTAAAGCAATAGCTGGTGCAGCTGCATGATGTACAGCGACAGCTGCTGGTGCATGGTGTACAGCAACAGCAGCTGGTGCATGATGTGCTACAGCAATACCATGATGACCTAAGATTGGTCCTTGTGCCAAAGCAATACCAGCTGGATGTACAGCAACAGCACTATGTGCTAATACGGGTCCATGATGGGCTAAAACTGGTCCATGTGCCCATGAGTGTGCTGCTAATGGCCATGGTACAATTGATGATTGAACTCCGGCAATAGCTAACATGACTACGACAATTGCGAACTGAAATAAAAAATAATAAAAAAAATATGTAATTTATAAAACGAAAATTTAAGAAAAATTTCTTACCTTCATGTTGAATAAATTTATTGGATTTTGTTCTTGATTGGGGAAAAAAGAAATTAAGAAATAAATAGATCACCTAGTTTTAGTGTGATTATTTAGAATGCAAAAACTTTTATGCTCCAATTAAAGAATTCTTTCGATTATTTATACTCGAAAGTTAACAGGCCACAAAACCATGTTAATGTCACGTAAATATAGAACAGTTATAATTACCGTATCCATTTTATATTAATAACCAATACATTTGCAATTATTATTAAAATCAACTTTAATATAAACTAACCCAAATGCATACTGCATATATATATTGCAACCATTTAGAAATTGCATAATTTTTATTAAATTAATAGTATTGTCGTGTGCTTTAAATTTTTAATTTGTGATTAGTTCTATTCAGAGAGATATAAATTAAGAAAAAGTAATATTTTTTTTGAATATAGCAAATAAAATACATATACAAACATACAAGTTGTAGTAAGAAAACAAAAAAAAAATCTGCATCCGGAAAATGCATTCTATATAGAGCAAACAGTAAATATAGTGCAATTGTGAATATTTAGGTGGGAAATTAAACAGAAATAAAAATTATGGCAAGGCTTTCGTAATCAAATAACGAAGTAAATAATAAATTTTATATCTATATGTGCACATTTAATGCACAATTTACATTCATACATACCTAACGCCGTATATTAAATGAAACATGGTTATATAGGTTGAATTTTTGCTTTAAACGTCAAACCAACGTAATGCAGTTTTCCTTACAAACAAAAACAAAATTGAATTTAAAATTATGTTTATTTTTATATATGTATGTACACTCGTATATACATATATAAGAATATATTGCATATATTATTATATATGCATATACAATAGCATATATACATACATAAAACCTGGTTATATTATTCGTTTGAAGGCGGGTTTGACAACAAGAAGCATAGGCAAAAAAATGTGAAATGGAAACAAGCTCAAGACAGCTTTATGATCTTTCATTTTACTTTTAAACATAAAAGCATTAATTATGGCATTATACGAGCATATGTGTATATGTATTTATTACTAATTACAGTTTATTCAATAACAATAGAGTTAAATGTTATTATTTAAATGAAATAGGATATTACACATTAAATTCTATTTTTAGATATTTTTATTGTATCCTAAACAAAATAGCATGATGTGAAACGAAATATGGTAAAAATGGAAATTTCGGGGACTTACAGAACTGCTATAGGTTCTGAAAAATTTTTAATAAATATAGTAGCGTATTGTACATGGCAGATTTTAGAATAACTTTATTTGACCAGGGATAGGTTCTTTTAAAGTATTCTTCGTTAGGAAAATGAGCATTGAGCATACAGCCTATGATATACATATATATATATAATATAGTAATATAAGCTGTAGCGATACAAATTGTGATTCGAGAGTCAGCTTTTTTGTATGATCTCTTTTTAATATGTTATGTTCGATGTAATAATAAAGTAGCGATATGAGAAATAATAATCTGACATGTAGGTAAGCTGAAGAAGTAACGGTAAAGATATTACTAATATTTTGACATTTAGTTCAAATTTTTTTTTCAATACAGGTGTTAAAAAAAATTGAAAGAAAAGTATGGGTGTACTCGAACTGGCTCGAGACTTATCAAGAGGAGGTGTTTGACGCAACTTAAAACGCACCTGAGTGGTCATAACTTTGTAACACTAGTCCAACTGGGGTCAGTTGGATAATATTGCGGCACTTTAGGTTAAATCCAGAGGTCTCGTTCATTTTGAAGTTTTTCTTTGCTAACACTCTCGTCTGTAAGGCGAGGGTCCCAAAAGGTTTACATCCAAACACACCCATATTTCATGGCACTGTTTCTTACATGGCGCAGTAGTTTCATCACTTAGGAAAACACCCTAAGAATGTCACTATTGCGCACATACCAAAGAGCACCTACCATATTACGAATAACCTTGCTCTGAAAAGTCTGTATTTGCTTGATATATGTTTGCTTGGTAAAAACCGAATAGCTGTATACCACATGTCCATATAGGCTTTATCAATTTTTTTTAATTATATATCAATGTTGCCAATCTAGACCTACAACTTTGGAGCCAATTGTTTTCTCTATATTTGCTTTCTAATCCTATTTTTTTCTTCTTGATATGTTCTTTCCATCTGAGCTTGGAATCTAAAGTCATTCCTCTGTATTTTGCTGACTTTTGGATTGATATACTACTTAACAAATTTTTGCTTGTGAAATTGAAATGCCGAGATTTATTTTCATTTGGCTTTATTATCCATTTATTCGATTCTTCAACATTACACCCTATTGCCAATATCATTATTTAATTGTTTCATATTTTAATTGTAATCATATTTAATCATAACTATTAAAATAGAACAACATTGCTGCGCCAATTACTCACTCATAGAAGAATTTTTTTAAACGAAAGCAAACTGATTGGCAGATAGAATTTGAATAAAATGAGTAATAAACGATTTCCAATAATAAAAATTATTGTTTAATAAAATATATTACAATTTTATTTTTTTTTTGTTAATCTTGTAGACTTCAATAATCTTGTTAGACTTCAATATAATTTTGTAAGATCTAGTACATATGCACATTTCTTATTTATGTATTAAAAGTCAATTTAATAAAGCCCTTCAACCACAACTGTAATACATATATTGTTTATTTGTTATAGAAAATATAAAATTAATTTGTTTTTGGGCAATGTAAAAAAAAACAGAGAAAATATTTAACTTTCAAGCTCTTTGATCTTATAAGGTTCATTTTACTTTATTTAATTACAAGATAATCGATAATTTATTAATCAATCAAAAATTTATTCAATTCGATTAATATTTTCAAAATCGTATACATAAAATACATGTGTATTGCCAGATAATGTTATTTTAAAAACAAAAAATAAGGTCAATATCAAGATTACTGTTATAAATAATAATATTTATGTTTATATATATATATATGTATGTATATTAGAATACAATAATGAAATTCCTAACAATTATTACATCAGTTGTCTTATACCTAACCTTTAAAATATCATGTGCATACAAATAATATTATACATAGATATACAGACATTATAAAATCAAATGAAATAAATTCTTTCTAAAAATAAATTATAAATATTTTTTATTGTATGTGCATAATAAAAGTGAAACCCAAAGTGGTTTAATAATTTTTTTTTAAAAAAAAATTTACATGATATTTCAAAATTTACAATGTAAAACCTATCAAAAATTTTGACATTATTTCTCACTTTATATACATTTAATTTTGCTTAACATTTAATTAAATAAAATATTTTTGAAAATGAAAAAAATATTTTTGCTTTTTATTTAAGTATTATGCTAAATGAATGAATTGTTTGTAAAACGTATAACAAAGCTAAGAATAGTGACTTTCGAGGTGATTACAAGAATAATTGGAACAAATGTTAAATAGATATGCTGTCACTTTAAATTTGTGTTGATTATTTTGATATATTTTTTTTGGTACAGTTTTTAGGAGGTAACTAAAACGCCTAATTCAAAATCAGTCTTTATATTTAAATTTATTTTTTTTTATTTATTCTAGGTCGGTAATGTTAAAATTGAGTACTGTTCTATGCAAAATATTCACTTCCACATGGTGTGCTTCCAACGTATTGAGTGCTTAGAGAAGTTTTTTGATAATACATACATACATACATAAATCGTTTTCGCAAATCTAATGATTAAATTTTGTTTCCTTCAATTTTGTCGCTGCATAAATTAAATAATCAATTTAAATAGCATGGTTTAACACAAACAAGTTGTAAACAAGAAAATTTTTCCTGGTTTTTACATCTTGAAATAAAATAAGGTACTTTTCTTAACTTACAGTCCTTTTGACAATACTGACATTTGAATATAAAATTTTTATGACATATTGTTCTCAAAAACATTATTTTGTCATAACATAAAAAAGTAAAACTAAATTTCATTGAAATAAATTTACACAAAAACTACGTAAGTAATACGTTTGTGTGTGTATACAAAAAACTTAAAAAAAAATAAAAAATTACAAGGCATAAGTCAAGAGACCAAAATGTAACAAAATTATATTGTATACCTACCTGTTTCTTTTTTCCCTTCATTCTCTTTTTAATTTTTTTTACCACTTTGCAAATTTAACATTGTGGACCTTATTTGTTTGCATAATATACAAACATAGACATTATTTCCTATTAAATATTATTGTCAAATTTAAAGATCGATATATTTCGTACCAAAAATATAAATTTATTGTAATATTATAAATATTTGTATGTTTGTGTGTATATAGTACATTGTAGTGTTATTGTAAGTTCTTTTTATTTTCGAAATTATTTTCTCTTTTACTTTTTCTAATCTCACTTGTAAATTTTCAAATGGATTTTGTTGTAATATAAAAAAGGCTTAAAGTAATCAATTTATAAATTTTTATCTTCCTTCATGGATTTTATTTTAAAACAAAAAACAAAGTTCTTAAAAAAGAGATTTGTGGTAGAGGGCGTGTGCCATTATACTCTGCATTGTTTTAATAGTTGGTAGTAAATCTTTTATTTTTTTTTCTTTACTTACTTTTCGGTTTTTATTTTGCATGTTTTTATTTAACACTTTGGCTGTGCTTGGCAAGAAACACGCTCTGATTTTTCATTACATTTTTAACAAATCAAAAAAAAAATTTTAAGTTTTTTTTGTTTTGTCTCATTTTTTTTTTTGTTTGGCGCGGATTTATTTGTTACAAAATACCACTCAATGTTGTAAATTAGTTGAAATTAAATATAAAATAAAAATAATCAAAATAATAAAATTATCGAATTTTTTCGTATATTTTGTAACTTTGGTAACAAATTAACAAGTTATTTGAAGTTGAACACGAAATTTCTAAAAATAAAATCGATTTTAAGAAAAAAAAATTTGATCTTTTCGATACCTAAAATTTCGATACAAATTTTAAGAAGTGTCATTCCAATGTAATAGATTACAAAATTTATGTTGTCTTTAATTTGATATAGAATATAAAAAAAACTAATTTAGCTTATTTAGCTGAAACGCTTTACAAATATTTCAAAAATGATAAAAAATTTAGTTTAGAAATTATATTTAAGCTAAGCAAGGTTATTTCTCCATTA